AAATTTCTAAGCTCCACATTTTTTCCAAAGACATTTTTTCTAGGGCCCTTCCACAATGACATAAATGAAAAAGCATTGATAAGGTACCAGCAATGAGTCCCAACGACCTTGCCAATTGCGTGACGTAATCTATGTCAATTCCAGCAGTTCTGAAGCTGAGCCTGCCATCCGCATCAAGCTGTTGGTGCTGTAATCGATTTTCCTGTCTCACTGAAAGGTCCAAAAAATTATGATCACGACCCACCCAAAACAATCCTGGATACGCCCCTGAATAATGTGTTTTTCGTTTCTTGTTTTGTGCAAGTTTGTTATGTGTAATTGTTTTCAAAAAAGTGGGCGTCGCTAAAATCCTTTCGAAAGTGGTCCAGGGGACGTAGCCCCCCCCCCCCGAAAATATGACAATTTAGGGGTTTCAAAGGCTTATTTAATCAATTTTAGAGTCTATTAATATGTAGAAAATACATATAATTTTTTGGAATTTTTTTCTCCCCGACAAATTGTGGTTTTTCTCCCCGACGGGGGTGGGAGGCTGTCTCTTATACACATCTAGATGTGTATAAGAGACAGGAAGTAAACACCATTTTATAAGGCTGATGGTGAAACCTAAACACGTTCAAGCTGTTTTTATGCTAACATACCGGTAATACTAATAATTAGGCTTTTCATTTTTACTTGTATTTTTTTCCTTGCTTTCGGATTTTTTTTTCTATCATTCGCTCTTTTTCTTCACGAACACTGTTCATCAACTGTTGTATAGTCACCCAAATGCCATAAACATTGGCCTCATTACTAATATCACCATATAGGCCTAGGCCTTTTATATATGTGTTTCATTCCATTTCATGATCATGAAAATGTCAATCATTCGTAAGACCTAGTAAACTTAGTACCGTAGTTGATTGGGCCTGCATCATTTTAACTATACAGGGAAAGTAATGGTTATTTTGTAGCTCCATGGTTGATCGACTGGCGGTGTTTTTTGTCATTTTAATAAAAATGTGGATATTCATCACTTAACACGTGGCGTACTGAAGGTGGTATGATTCTAAAGTGTTGGTTAATGAAGATAACCGTATGGTAAACCGATTTTGACTCAAATCGGAAATTGATAAAATTCGATTGATGTCTCCAATCACAGATTCATTGTTTTAGCATATTCGTAATTTATAAGAACGATATGCTCACGATAGGCCTATAGGCATATGTCTAATTGTCAATAAAGTTCTCGGCATACGAAATCAAAGAAATAAACTTTTATAAATTATATTCACAACAAAGTTGGGCAGTATCGTTCTTAATATTGGGTCAACTGAAATATCACCGTCCACATCTATAAAAAATTTTGGTGTTTATCTTGATTGTAATATGTCAATGTCAAATCACATTGAAAATATTTGTAAATCTGTACGATTTCAATTGAAAAATGTATCACGGATTAGAAAGTACATTACTAAAGACGCATGTAACCATGCAGTGAGAAGTCATGTACTCTCTAGACTAGATTATTGACGGGGGGCTAGTGGAGCGAATCGAGTCTCACTTGATAGGGGGCGGGGGCCCCCAGTGGGGGTGCAGGGGGCGAAGCCCCCTGGAAGCCACGGATATTTGAAGAATATGGCGAATTTTTATTACCGTACTTATTTGATAGGCATCGAGTTACTATATTATGACTTCATGTAGGCTATGCTTTCTAATGTTGAAATTAGCTTCCAAAACCAAAACATTTTGAATAAAGCAAGAAACAAAGAGTATGCAATGTAACCATCAAATTTATTTTTAAATCCTCATTCTTGAAAGTGAAATTCTATATTTTGCATGAAATCTGTCAAACACGCTGTCATGGTCGAGGTTGCTTCACCTATCACGATGTATTCCAACCATCATAAGGCTATCTAAATGAGCATTTGTCATAACAGAACGCAAATTATTTTTAATTAGTCTCATTGAATAATTATTATTGTTATTGTTATTGTTGTTGTTGTGATGAAAAGATTTGGTGGCTAAACGAATATTACATGTAAATATTTTTTCTTATTTGTTCCCCGACGGAATTTATCATCTTCCCCGACGGGGGGGGGGGGGGCGCTATGACGCCACCACTGCTAAGACACAAGGAGAGGCAGCGATGGGAATTGAAACGGGGACCTATAGATCTCCATGGTGGAGCGCACACACAGTCGCTACCACCAGATTAGCCGACTGAGCTAAGCACTGAGCTCTCTCTGTAATAATTCTATGAATATTATTAATGTTCGCATTACATTCAAGTTGCATTTTTATCCACCATGCACTTGTTTTTGTAGTGCCTGTCTGTCTGTCTGTATCTGTCTGTATCATCATGTACAAACACCAACAAGCTTTTCGTCACGTACGTCGGTCAGGTTGATTGTGTAACAATTAAATATTGTAATGAGCTTTAGTCGTTAATTTATGAATATTAATAGAGTCCAAGGCAGATTTAAATGATTTTATGTTAGGTAACATCCGAATATTCTCGCTCAAGCAGTTCCATTCCGGAATTGACCTTGGGTATAGTGAATGAGCAGTCTTTATTTGTTGGAATGACCTTGTAAACATAAGCACTGGATTGCCTGGTTGTAATATGGTTTTTATTGGGATACAGAAAACCCTCAATTACGAACTCCGATTTAATTCCCGATTTAACGAATTCCCGATTTTACGAACGTAAAATCAAGGTGATGACGTCATAAAAAGTTTGCGGGGATGATACAACATAACATACCATACTATACAGCACTATATAATTCTCAAGTGAAGGAGGCCCTCTAACGGGCCTCTTCAAATTCAGTGTTTTTTTATGAATTCACACAATGCATGCGCCGACAAATTTTACTTTTCTTCAAACATCGTTTTCAGCTTTAAAAGTCAACATAGTGCTTGATTGTTTTATTGAATGATCAATATATATAATAAAGGGGTATCTATGGAAGTTGTGTTTGAGTAAAATCCACAATCTAGGTATTTAAAAAGGTAAAAACATCCGCAAAAAACAAATTTGTGTAGGGCCTAGAGTGGGATCAGAATGCTTAGAAGCTGCCTACTAGGCCCCTCAGACTTAGCTGCGTAGGCCTGTGGGCCTAGCCTATGCCTAGTTTATGCCAGTGTAAGTTGTACCAGTGCAAATAAATAGGAATTTGGGTCAACCCCGATTTTACGAATACCCGAAATTACGAACGGCTCTGGGCTCCATACGTAAATGAGGGGTTCTACTATTTGAGATGAGACCTGATGTTGCTTGGTATGATCCCATTGTGCGTTTCCTTATACATTGTGGTTAGAGCGCAATTTTGTTGTCCTGTGCTTTTTAAAGCACAGAAAACTTAAAACCTTTAAAGGTTTCCCACCCTAGATTATTTAAAATATTCGTAATAAATGACTCGCGCTGTGAAACGAGCTGCACGATTTTGGATCCTCTCCAACTTGTATCTGTCTGACTTGTGATAAGAATCCCAAAAGCTGAACAGTAGGCTACTCAAGTTTTGGTCTAACTAATGCCTTGTAGGCAATGGATTTTGTTTTTACATAACAGCTATAGATATTTCTTTTCAGTAGACCCAACATTCTGTTGGCCTTGAGGGAAACTTACTGGATCAGTGTGTGTAGACCATTTCAAATTACAACTAAGCTCAACACACAGCGCTTAGAGACTTTTTGTATTTTGCGCTCTATAAATTAATAACCATTAACCATTAACCCAAGTATGGATTATGTTTGACTAATTCCAGTGCGTTGTCACCCATCTTGTAGGTTTTATCGATTGAATTTTTCTTATGTGTTACTCTCAGTCGTTGTAAAACAAGTGTTGAATAATATCAAAATCAGCTGGTGTGTTAATTTTGTGGTAAAGGATGCAGTCGTTCGCAAACAGCCTAACTTTGTATACAATACCTAAAGGAAGATCATTTATGAAGGCCAAGAACCACAGGGTGGGGG